GAGCTGACAATCAGCAGGGAAGGGGGAAGGGGTGAGTCTGTGAGGTTCCCTCCTTGTTGGCGGAGAATCAGAGGAGTGGAGCTCCAGGAGCCGAGGGTGCCTGCTCTTTCTCTGATGCCCCCAGAGTGGTTGGTTATCCCAGGACGAGGCACATGGTCGATGGGCCTCCCGACAGCCCTGACCAAACCCAGTCCAGCCCTGGAGCCCCCACCCCCAGACCCAACACCTACGCGCCCTCATTGCTGGGCTGTGATCTAAACTCAGTGGCTAAAGCCCTGGCCACTATTGCTCAGTGGTTAGAGCATTAGCCAATGCATCAAAGGGTTGTGGATTCAGTTCTCAAGTGGTTAGAGCATTAGCCCATGCATCAAAGGGTTGTGGATTCGGTTCTCGGTCAAGGACACGTGTGGGAGGCAACCAATTGATGTGTCTCTCACATCCATGCTTCTTTCTCTCTCTCTCTCTCTCCCCTCCCCACCCCCCACTTCTACTCTCTCTGAAAAGCAATGGAAAAAATATCCTCAGTCAGGATTGATAAAAATAATAATGATGATAAATTCTGTGACTAAAGACCTCTCTCTACCCCCAAGGGTTTCCCTAAATATAACCAACTTCATGAAGTCTGGCTGCCATCAAACACCCACCCAGCCCTGGTCGGTCACGCCTTTTCTGATGGGCAGTTCATTGTAGGGAGGCCTGTAAGCTCGCTCCAGGCCACCTGCTCAGGTGTGAAGACCCAGGAGTCCGGCCTGTTCTAGTGGCCGCTTGGGACACACAGAAGCTTCTCTGCCAGCCTCTCTCCTTGCCTGGAGCCGGCTGGTCCCGGGATGGAGACTGTGTCCTCCCCCCAGCCCTCCCACCCCATGCCTGGCAGAGGCGGAGGCTGAGGCCGGGGCGTAGCTGCTGCACAAAGGGTCCCGCTTCACCCAGCATCCACGAGGGTCCAGCTTCCCCATCGCCTTTATGATGAGCTCAGAGCCCAGGCCGGGAGCCCAGGGCTGCACCAGGAAGCCAGCAGCCTGGTAGCCAGAGCCAGCAACCCTGACCTGGGGAAGGGCCAAGTCAGCCTGGGGAGCCAGCGATGTCTGCGGGAGGACTGAGGTTCCAGAGCCTGACGCGCTGTTTCTTAGGCCTGGAAGAATGGAGTGGCCAACAGGGTCCCCTCCTCAGAATGTTTTATTCCTGAACAAGGGAAGGAGGACCGACAGGGGAGGGCGGAATGCTACTGTGGTGGACCCTCGGGGCCAGGGAGGGGCTGGAGGTGGGTTGGGTCCGGGTTGAGGTTCCAGCCTGGAGTCCAGGAGCTCCTGGTGCTGCTGGTAGATTCCTGCATCTACATGGGAATGTGTGGCTCCCTAGGAAGACGGTTCATCGCCTCTGTCAGCTTTTCCAAGGCCTCCATGCCCCCAAGTCTGGGAAGAACCTTCGCTGAAAGGCAGGTGAAGCCTGCAGCGTGGCTCACACCGGGAGGCCGTGCCTCTGGAGCCAGGACTGTTGCCAGTGTGCCGTGTCATCAGAGGCCAGCCACTTCCCATCTCTGGAGGGCCAGGCCCCGGGGGCAGAGAAGCCAGCTCTCCACACAGGCACGGTCCCTGCTGCCACACGAGCGTGGAGGTCCATGGTCAGGTGGCCAGGCAGCCAGGACGAGCTCTTCCCCAGCCACGACTCCCAACAGGTTCAGGGAGTCTCTCGCAGGGAACGGAACTGCCTCCAATTCTGGGCTCCACCGGTCCCCTCTGCTGTCCCTGCAGGGCACCTCCCGAGGTAGGTCTTAGGGCACGTGTCCTCTGCCAGGTGCAGTTCCCAGGGTCTCCATCCTGGTTCCTGTGCCCAGATGTGCCTTGCACACTGTCCAGAGGTCCTGCCCACTCCGCATCTGTTCACAAAGACAAAAAGAGCAGGGTGAGGGCTGAGGCCATGACACAGCCCTGCCCAGCCCCGCTCCGGGGGTAGGAGAGGGCAGGCAGCTGGGCCACCTGCACCGTCCACAGGCTCAAGGATCACTCATCCATTTACAAACAAGATGACTTGGCTTCAGGACATTTTGGTAACTGGTCCCAGATGCCCTGAGTCCCCGTTGAATCTCTTAAGTGCCAGACCACACTGCCATAGCCACCTGAGGGTGGCAGGCAGAGGGCCAGGGTGCCCAGAGGAGCCACAAAGCTCTCAGGAAGGGCAGAGGGCAGAGCCAAGTCTCCAGCACCAAACGCCGCACTGGGCATGGAGCCAGGGCTCTGTGAGTGCAGGCCCTCTCCAAACCCCCCTTCTTTCCTGCCAACCCGCCCTGTGGATGCCATGTCCATACCACCCGTTGATGCCCCTGCCCAGGCTCCTGCCACATGGTCACGGGTCACATTCCTACATACTCGAAGCTCCATTTTCCTATCAGTAAGAGCCTCTCTAAGGGCCGTGGAGTAGAGATGAAGGGTCTTGGGGTCCAGAATCCAAAATAGGGCCCAGGCTTGCACTGCTGTCCCACTAAGGGATCTGGGGCAAGTTTGGACGAGCCTCAGTTTCCTCGTCTGCCAAATGGTCTCAGAGCACCGACTTGGACTCAGGGGCCCTGGGGCAAGCCCCAGCTCTGCCCTTTCTCACTGCATGACCTTGGCCACGCCCCTCAGCCGAGGGCCTCATGTCCTCGGCTCCGAGGAGCCCAGGACCCTCAAGGCTCCTGCTCGTCCCACGTGGATCTGTGCTCACAGGCCCTCCGGTTCTTGAACTGCACATCTGAGGTCACTCCGCTCTTTTTGGTGCCCCCCCGTCCCCCCGCCACCCGCCCTGGCCACAGTCCTCTGCAGGGCAGATAGGAGCCTCTACTATCCGCCCCCCCACCCTGAGTCCTCCTTCAACACTGCTCTCCCTAGGGCACCTCTATTCATCACCAGGACCCAATTCAAACCAACAAATGCCTGTGGGT